CGATTACTGAAGAGAGAATGATACATGTGAAAAACCTATCTCCCAGATTAAAAATACAACTATCTGTATCACTTACCCCCCTAAAGAGTCTGAAATGTCTGGCCTATCCATCCAATTTCACTTGAAATTCTACTGCAATGTAGTGTAAATAATATAGATGCAGGGAAAAGGTAGAAAATAAACCTGACATGATTAAAATCTTGGAATGATTTAGAAGCTTTAATAATCTTACATTTCCTGATAATGTGCTATCACTGACCTTGAAAGGTCTATCAAAATCATGAAAAACAGCCCTGGCTGATGTGGCTCAGTGGATTGAGTGCCTGCCTGCAAACCAAAGGGTAGCAGGTTCCATTTCCAGTCAGGGCACATGCTTGGGTTGTGGGCCAGGTCCCCAGTAGGGGGCGCATGAGAGACAACCACACATTGATGTTTCTCTCCCTCTTCCTTCCCCTCTAAAAAGAAATAAAACGTTCAAACAAAAAGTATGAAAAATAAATTCAACATAACACCTATGTTAAAACACAAAACTGTTACTGGGTTAGTCAGATTTCTCAAAAACACACTGGACAAAAATATCACAAGATAGCCCTGACCAGTATGGCCCAGTCAGTTGGTCATCGTTCAGCAAAGTGAAAGGTTATGGTTCGATTCCCCAGTCAGAGCACGTGGCACACGCCTGGGTTGCTGGTTCGTCCATAATCAGGGTGTGTATGAGAAGCAATGGATCAATGATTCTCCCCCTCTTTCTCCCTCCCTTCTCTCTCCAAAAACAAATAAATAAAATCTTTTTTAAAAATATATAAGATAGTATATACCAATCAGTAAAGAGGCTTTATTTAAATAAATTCCTGAAGGTGGTACCAGAGGAAAAGTGCTTCTAAAACATGTAATACTTAAAATGATATATATATATATATTTATCTCAAGATTTAAAGCAACAACCAAAAGAACATTACTAAACACTTTTTCAATTACCTGAACACACTGTCACTTAATGAAATTCTAAAAAATGTTGGGCCCTTGGCCAGGTAGCTCAGTCATTTAGAGTGTTGTCCCAATAAGCCAAGGTTTAGGGTTCAGTCCCCCATCAGGGTTCACACAAGAATTGAACAACGAATGCATAGATAAGCAGAGCAACAAATCAATGTTTCTCTCTTTCTCCCTCCCTCCCCCCCTCCAACTCCCTATAAAATCAATCAATAAGTTTTTTTAACTAATAGGACATAACAAACTTCAAAGTATAAATGTTTAGTAAGATCTAATAAATGGCATAAGTCCCTTTATAGCTCTGTTATCATTATAGAAATTGGGAACATGAAAAAAGAAAATTTAAGCCCAAAGTAATCAATACTAAACACTTTTTGAATTGCAATTTTGTTAAAGCAAAACACCATTCATGGGCAGCCTCTCAACTCTCACCACACAAGAAATTTCAGTTGTAAAAAATAAGCTAACTCTTTCAGTACTACTGATTCCTAACTAGCAGGTTCTCTAAGAGAAAACCTACTATATAACAGAAAGTTCTTCTTGTATAAAAGTAGAAACTTACTTTAACAACTCCTTTTAACATTACTAATACCTCTTTTCATAAGCAGCAATAATGGAAATGCTGAACATCTGTAAGCAGTAGTTCTAAAATGATACCCCCAAATTTGCATTTGCGTAACACTCACTATGAAACTTTTAAGGTTAAAGTTTCCAATGTACTTTCATTTTTTTTGAAGACAAGTTGAAAAAAGGAGAAAAAGGAAATGAAAGAAAGGAAGGAAAGGAAAAAAATTAAATCTAAAAGACCTTCAACTTACTACATTTCTTTTAACCAGACAATTAACAGGTACTACACTGGGAATTGTGAGATTACGACATTCATTCCAGAGAAATCCTGCATTAATTATGCAAGCTTCTGAACCTATTATACTTTATTCAACCCAACACTTCTCTTAAATTATTGTCCAACAGCAAGGTATACGTTTTTTCTAACAAACTCACTCATAACTGTTTCATACAGGTCACAGGAATTAGTCTCATCTGCAACTAACAAAAAAGGACTCATTTGGAAACGTTACTGACTGGTTTTCATTCACATGAAGATGAGGTAAGAAGTCAGCAGACACAAACATGTTAGGTACTTTAGAGCACCCCAAAGTCAAAAAGTAAAAAGCCTAAAAAGTAAATGGACTGAACTTAATTATTTCATATAGTTGATGAATATTTAAGTAGCCACTGCTTTTACTTTCTTCCCTAAACACAAGCATCACAAATTTTAATTTGGATGCAGTGCTATAAAAGCAGTCTTGAATCTGAAGAGCGAAGTAAATTTGTTTAAAAATTGTTCAAAGGAACAGTCAAAAGTAGATGACATTTACATTTTAACATACTATCTGTTGCACTTCTCTACTGGTGAACACACACTGCCCTTTTCAAGCACTTCTGAATTTGGGACGGGTAAAAAATATCTGCAGGCCTCTTCACTTCCACCAGTTGAATCTAGTCATTTCAGGTTCCTAAGGCTTTTAGTCTAGGGTGCCTTTAAAAATGACAACATTCACTTACATACTCTCTAAAGTGAAAAAACAGCCTATACTTACTTTTATTGCTATAATTTCTTCCACCAATTAAGCAAATTGTACTTTTTGGACAATATCTTCCATTCAGTTAACATGTTTACACTTAATAGCAACCTGGCCATCAGTTTTATCACAATGCACTACTGCATCTGACAATTCTCAGACCAAATAGATCAACAAAGAAAAATAAACCAAATAATCCTGGAAATACAAGGAACAACTGCTATCTCTCAGCTGTGCAAAAATGAAAAACATTCCCTTGAAAAATCTTTCAAGACTATTTTCATGGCTAATGAAATAGGTCTTCTGCTTGAAATTCACAGTACTGTTAAACACAATAAATGAGATTTTCTTTCATCAGTGTAACCGATAGAACCACAATACAGTTCAGGTTCTAGAATCAAATTACCTGACCTGCTTTTTCTGTTTTACCTTTTCTAACACTCTAACGTAGTTATTTCCGGCAAAACGAGACGTTCTATATGGGACAACCATCCTCAGTGCGATACCCTGAAACCGGCTCCAACTCACAGCGCAAATGTCCACACCAGTAACCCCTCGTCTCCCGGGGAAGGCTCGGCACCCAGAGCCAAGCACGACGCTCGGAGCCCCCACACACGACCTCGATCCAACAGCCCCCACTTCTGAATCCTACAACCCCAGAGGTTCGTTTTCCGTGGGCAATCTTACCTTCATGATGATTCCGGGACCGCGATGCCCTCGAAAACACCAGATTCACCTGCACCTGGAAGGGAAACAAAAGACACCCCGTCAACGCTACAGGCACCCGCTGCACCGGCGGAGGCGGAGAAGCCAAGACAGACCGTCGAACCCGCGAGACGCCTTTGCGGGGCTCGCTCTGGCCTCGCCACCCAGCACACCTCGCCACCCACACAGCACGGCAGCTTAGCGTCCCCATTGTCGGGACCCGACGGAGTTTCCCGTCTCCGACAATGACGCCATTTCTGTCAGAGAAGAAACTCAAAACAAGCCGGGTCCGGCCGGGCCTCGGCTCACCCCGCGTCCGAGCGGGCAGCGGCCCGAAGGGCCCCGCGGGTCGCGGGAGGACTGACCCGCCGGGCCGCTGCCCACGTCCCGTTCCGAGATGGGGACCGACCAGCCGAGCAGACCCCGTCTGCGGGCCTTGGGGACAGGGGACGGGAAGAGAGGACCGGGAGGGAGCGCAGCCCCCGCGCTCGCTGAGCCCCCACCGCGGCCCTCGCCGAACCGTGAGCCGGGCCGCCGGGCTGGGGCGACTGCGGGGGGGCGGGGGCTCCGCAGGCGGAGGCCCCGAATTCGGGCGTCCGGCGAGCCCACTACAACGATCCTCCCTGCTCGTTCGCTGGGCCCGGAGGCTCCCTAAAGGACCCCTGACGAGCCCGCGAAAGCCTCAGAAATGCCCTACCTTCCTCTGAAGCGAGCGCCAACCCCAGCGCGCCCAGAGTCCCCTCCCCGGCTCCCCCCCAAAACCAACAGGCCCGGGGAAGAGATGGGGGAGAAGGGCGGCGGGTCCAGCGGAGCCGAGGTTGAAGCTCCGGCTCCTCCTCCTCCCGCGGCGGCGACTGGTACCTTTGTTTAGCGGCCGCTCGGGCTCCCTCGCTGGGGGGAGGGGGACGACGAAAAATCCTCCCGGACTGGAGTCCGGGCCCCCGTCGCACTGCCCTCCAGAGGACTGCGGCCACAGACCCTCTGCGGCTCCCTCCGGGCAAAGGTCCAGGCGGTGGCCGTGGCGGCGGCAAGCTAAGCTGAGGAGTCTCCTCCGCTCCGGCGCCCGAGCTCCTCACTCCGAACTCGACTGACGGGCAAACATCGCTCCCCCCGCCCCGAATCCCCCCTTCCCTCCGCTCTCCCCTCCCCTAGGCTGTTTCCCTCCCTACCTCTTTCCCGGATGGCCTCTTAGACGACCTCGGATTGGCTAGGGATTTTTAGAACCCGCCTATACCTTGTCTTTATTGGTCCCCTAGATACAAACAACGACGCCATTTTCCCACCAGTTCTATGGAAACAGAAAGTTTTACCTCAAAGCTTCCCGGGAAATGTAGTCCAACTTGTGGAGTCAGTGCGCAAGCCCATGGCCTCAAAAACTGCAAAACCCGCAACGCCCCGCGCCTGCGTGAGACTGGGGGAGGGGGAAGGGGCGGGGCGACACAGCAGAGGGGAGGTGGCAACGACGCCTGCGCAGTATGAGCGGGATGGCGCATTTTCTTGCACCGAGTAATGCGGCGGCGCTGGTGGCTGAGGAGGGCGGAGAGTTGAGTGATGAAGTAGGGGGAGGGGTTCGTGTAGGCGTCACGAGGAGCCGCGGTTTGAACTATAAAATGGGAAGTTGATGCTGGGTACTGCTACTCCCTGAACGGCACCGCGAAAGCTGTGACCTCATCGTTGAACCGTGAGTGGCTGTCGCGGTGGTGGCTGCGGAGACCCGGATGGGGGGGGAGGGCGGAGCCTGCAGTGAAGAAAGAAGGAGGGTGAAGACCCGGATGCTGAACCGGATTGTGTATGAATTTTCCGCCCGCTAGCTGGAGAAGGGGAGGAGCAGGAGGGCGCGGAGCGGAGCGGAAGGGGGCATTTGAGCGGAAAATAAGCGGGGCTTCGCGGACCCTGGCGGACCCTGCGACTCTGCAGGCAAAGCGACTCTTGGAGGCGCTCTGCCAAGCCAATTCTAGAAGTCGGCTTCAGAGTTGTTTAAATCCCCCGCCAGCATCTCAGGCCATTTTCTGCTGACTCGTCATCTCCCGGAGTTGAGTGGAAGGGATCCCTGCGCTTCACAGCTGCGCTTACATTTGTATGTCTCTATTTAGACATTCTGAAACTAGACCCTTCCTCTGCTGTTTTCATTTTTCACGTGCATGATTTCATCTTCTTAAGGCGTTAGAAAACACTTTCCGTTCGTTAGTTCAGTTCTTCGAGTATTTACTGAGCACTAAATGGACACCCGTGCGAGTGTGAAATTGCAACAGCGGTGAGTGCTACGGAGCAGAGTTACGGTACTCGGTAATCGGGGAATGTGGTCCAGGGAATTTTGGGTTAGGGACCTAAGGGAAGGCTTACCCGAGCTAGAGAGGATAGACCTGAGAGTAGAAGTGTTGGCCGGAGTTAACTAAGGAAGAACATTTCAGACGGAAAGATTAACATGTTGGGAAGCCATGTGTCAAAAGGGAGCTTTTGAAGTATGAGGAACTGAGGCTGAAGGGGTGGGGACGCAGAACCTTACACAATTTGTTAAGGTGTTTTGTGTGGTGGAAAGAGATCTCCCTTTTGAAGATTTGAATTTTGCAAAGATCACTAGCTAATGCAGGGAACCCAATCTGGAAGTTATTGTAGTCAGTAGGAGAGAACCTGCTTTTCGTATTTATTCATCCATCCATTGTTTCAACAATTTTAAAGCAGTTTTAGTTTTGAAAGTAGTTTCAGATTCACATAGGCATTCTATACTGTTATTTAATTTAATAAATTAATAGAGATCAGTAACAAGTTAATAGTTCTTTACATTTAAGACAAGTACAAGATAGTTTATTATCTTTGAGTTTAAAGAAAAAGGCAGGTCAGACCATGTGCCACAGGGTGTAGAAACGCTTAGACCTTGAAATACCTAGAAATATTGAGATTCCTATGTTTTCCCACTGCTGAGACTACTTGTGTATAAAGTCCTTTGGGAAAGGAACATTGACTTGTTAAGTGAATGTTCTTAAACTTACCTGAGTGAGCTAAGGAAAGAATAATTTTTAAACATCCGTAACTAATATTTTAAGTCAAAAAATAACATCCACTAAGAATTGAAACAGAGGTTAGGCTCTGATTTCAGTTCAACAGAGTTACATGTTACTGATCCAGAGACAAAGGCGAATTCTTGAATGTCGGTCTTACTGATTTTTAATTTAAGTCAAATGTATCCTGGAGGCTGTGAAGAAGATAAGCATGGGAAGAAATGGGTACCAGTTGGTTTCTAGAAGTCTATAAGAGATGCTTTTTGCTATTCTACTGTTATATCTGTAAATATTTATCTTTTACGTAAGCAGTTATTATTCCTGCATGTCATTTTCTTTCATCTCTTAAGAATGAGCCCTGGCCTGCAAACCAAAGGGTTGCCTGTTCTATTCCTAGTCAGGGCACATGCCTGGGTTGCTGGCCAGGTCTCCAGTAGCGGCCCGAATGAAGCAACCACACATTGATGTTTTTCTCCCTCTCTTTCTTCCTCCCTTCCCCTTTGTCTAAAAATAAATAAATTAATTATTTTTTTAAAAGAATGAGATAACCTATGTCAAAGTTTAAACAGTATAGGTAATTGGTTACTAAACTGGTTTTTAGATTATTTCAAAATATTTTCTAGACTTTATTTCCCTTGTGATATACTTAGTATTAATTATTAGTCAAGGCAAATGTAGAAATTTTCTGTATGGAATGTTCTCTTTGAAATCATATTACTAAGATAATTTACTTCGATGGGGTGCTAACATTTTTATAATGTTTCACCTACATATTAAAGAGTAAATTATTTAAAAACTTACTTTTCAATTCTTTACATTCATGATCCTAAAGAGAAAATCATTGTCCCAAGAAGCAAAAGAAAGCAGATAAAAAGGAAAAATCTCAACTGTGCCACAAATGTGAGAGCAGTTAGAAAACAACTAATGTGAGGACAAATAAAAATAGTAGATTTTTTACACAGCAAGAGAGATTCAGTAATAAAGGAAGATTCTAGGAAGACAATGAGTTATTGGTATGCTGGGAAATATTGAAGTAAATGTAAAATTCAGAATAATAAATTAATGCCAGGGGAATATTTTTAATAATATAATTGCATTCCAGTTAATGCATGTCTTAAATCAGAATCTGTGAAATGGGCCCTGGCTGGTATGGCTCAGTGGATTGAGTGCCAGCCTGCCAACCAAAAGGTTGCTCGCTAGTTGGCTTCCCAGTCAGAGCACATGCCTAGGTTGTGGGCCAGGTCCCCAGTGGGGGCCATGTGAGAGGCAACCACACATTGATATTTGGTTGTCAAACCTCCCTTTCCCACTCTCTAAAAACAAATAAATAAAATCCTAAAGAAAAAAATCTCTGAAATGGATTGATTGTACAGAAAATAGAGGAGAAACGTTTCCTCTTAAATTTTAGTAGTATATAAAGCATTCATCAGTGCTCATAGAAAAAAGTATGTTTACTAATTTACATACTCATAGAATCAAATTCTGTAGATTTGTTTTAACATTGATTTAATGCAACAATATAAGCCTTTTATGGTCCAGTAAAAAGGAAAGGCTTAATACAAGTTTTGTAACTTGAAAATACAAGTGAACACTTTGATCAATTACTTGAGTGAAAGCTTTCCTTTTTTTAAATGAGATATAATTTACATATTACATCATTCATCTGTTTAAAGTATATAATTAGATGGATTTTAGTATACTCACTGGGTTGTGCAACTACCACCACAGTCTAATTTTAGAACATTTTGATGCCCCCTCAAAAGAAACCGGGTTCTTGTTAGCTGACACTCCCTATCCCCCCTACTCTAGCCCTAGGCAATTATTAATCTGCTTTCTGTCTCTATAGATTTGCCTGTTTTGAACATTTCATATAAATGGAATCTTACAGTATGTGGTCTTTTGTGACTGGCTTTCACTTAGCATAATGTTTTCAAGATTTCATGTTTATAAATTTTAGACAAACTGAAATATTGGCTTTACGAAAACACCTTGAGATAAAAATTAATTTGCAGTTTGACACTCAAAGATAATCTAGTTAATGAGATCATACATGTTTCTCTTTCTTAACAGATTAGCTTTGAAATTCAGAAACAATGGAGAAGAATCAAGAAAAAGTCCAGAGGATTCTTCTAGAACCGTACAAGTACTTGCTTCAATTACCAGGTAGCATTACCGTCCATAGAGGGTGGTTTTTATGTAGTAGTGGTCATTCAGGTGTCAGCATACAGGAAAGGTTAGACTTGCCAGCTTTTGAGATTTTTCTATTTAAGGTTATACACATACAAGAAAAATGAACCTTTGTTCTTAAAAGGGACATGTTTGAGGTACCCTTTAAAAAATATCCAAGTATATAACATACCTAAAAAAATAAATATACTTAAAACATTTGAGTACCTTTTTGGAGGTTTTATTCTTTATGGATGCCACATATTGCTATATAGAGAGTGAGGAAAGCTATGCCAGTTCGTGCAAAGACAAAAAGCTTCATTTACCTTCCGCTACACACATATGCTGTGTTTCTTACTACTAGTTCCTTTAAGAGCCAAATGGTAATATCTAAATTACTTAAAAGCATAACTATCATTATTCCTATGTAAAGATGGACCACCCGGACATGGCTTCCTACAGTTAAACCTGCCTAATCATGTTTATGTGTATGTACATGTTTTATTGTGCTACTTCTTAACTTTGGAGAAATAATAGTAAAATGCATGCATATAGGAAGTGTGAGTTCTTGGAATAAAAATTTATTTATAAACCAATTACTTAAAATGCTCTTTCTCATAGAAATAATATAAAAGGTGATAAGTTAACAACCACAAAAACCTATTTAACCCATAATGTGGCTAAACTTGAATGATGTTTTCAGCTCCATCACCATAAACACATTTTCATTTCTGTTCTACAGTACGTACCTTTGTGAGCACGCCTCAGTGGTAGTATGTGCATTTCTATTCTTTTTGAGTCTGAGGGGATAAATATGGTCATCAGAGCCAAAAGCGTAGAACTTCCTGGGCTATACCTTGGAAACCATTGTACATAGTGTCATTTTTCTTACGGTAGGTCCTAATGGAGACACCCCTGCTAATGTCAGTGCTTCAAAAGAATGGAGGGAAGACAGAAATGGAAAATGCAAGGGAAGGTCACCTTTTGTTTAATAAAAAGCTATAAGAAGACTGCTTTTGAGTGGCATTCATTCAGCAGATAGTAGCTTTGCCTATTTCAGGGTCTTCCATTGAGAAACGTGGCACTGCTTCTCCTGCACTCTACCCATCCGATGCTTGACTCCTTTTGTAACAAGTTGGCAAACACTGGCTGGAATCTGTTATCAGTGCTAACGAGAGTCTAAAAAGCATCTCCCACTTCAGACACTCTGCTGCTGTGCAAAGCAGGGACTACCTTTACTTACACTTCAACCTTAGTGGTTACCCTATACAATGAACTTCTGTATCACTTCTTTAATCCTCATTATCTGGAAGTGATATCTTAAACAATTAGATAACAAGTTTTTTAACAATATTTTCTTGTTTATCCTGTCATAGTTGTCCCAATTTCCCACCTTTGCCCCCTCCACCCAGTGCACCCCCACTTCCATAGTCAGTCCACACACCATTGTCCATGCCCATGGGTCCTTCATGTATGTTCTAGATGACATGTAAAAACAGAAGATGACCTTGATGAAAAAAAAGAGAGAGAGAGAGATGCTGTGGAAGGGGGAGAATCCCATACCTAGCTGCTGAGGAGGGACCTGCTGTAGGGAGTGGGGCAGGGGCTGCTCCCTCATTCTGGGGATGTGCCGTGGACTCAGCTGCCCAAGCGGCTCTCCCTGTTTCCCTATCTCACTTCACCCCCTTGGGGGCTGCCCAGGGGTAGGTGGTAGGTGTTTGTTTCTTTAACCCAGGGCTCTGGAATGACACCAAACTGTCCTGCTTGCTACCTTCTCTCCGTCTCCTCCTTGACTCGCACAGTCCCTCCTGCCTGCTCCTGTCATTCCAGGTCTGTCCCCACCCTGCCCCCGTGTGGCTCCCTGCCCCTCCGGACTGACTGCTGATCTGTTTTGTTTCCTTTTGTGGGGTTGGTTTGTTTTTTTCTGTTTTGATTGTCTTTATTTGCAGGTTTCTAGAGCCAGATGTCCTTACCTCCCAGCAGCTCTGGTATAAATTCCCCTTCCCCCAGGGGAAATATGCCACCTTGTTTTGAGGGGTTTGGGGACTTTTTTTCCCCAATTTTTTGTGTTTTTTCCCCCCTTGCTTTCCCTTTTATTTGGAGGGAATGGGAGGAGGTGAGCACAGGGAGGTGGATTTTATTTTTTTAGCTCATTTACAGGGGGAGGGAGTTTTTTGTAAAATATGTGTCATGAATAAAGTTTTTGAAAATTAAATAAAACTGTCATTAAGTATCTCACCTTTTTTAAGTCAAATGTACTCTTGCATCCATGATAGAATATAACCTAAAGAAATAGGAAATTCTATTATGCATAATAAACCCATTTTTCAGAAAAAGTTTTGGGGTTACTAAAATGACTTAGAGGTGGGCCAGACCATTTATTCTGTTATAAAGGTACTTTTGCTAACAAGATTATGATTGTTGATATTAGGATTTTCTGAAATTGGTGCAGTTGATGTTTGCTTATTTGCCCTAGTACGAGGCCCCCAGGCCTTTGCAGTGGGTGGTAGAGGGTGAGTTGGGAGTGGAGGAAGAAGAGGAACTACAGGAGGGAGTTGGCCATTTCAAGGTCTTAAAAAGAACACAGTAATTGTGGTTGGTTTTACTTTTGGAGGATCTCTGTGGCCAGCCTCCGTTACAAACTATTTGGGGACTAGGAGTATTGAGCCTGACCCTAGAGTCTGTCCAGAGTGGGGGGGAATATATTAAAACTATGGCACCTGTAAGTCAGGCCATTGACTATACTGTTTCCTACATAAATTCTGAAGTGAAGGGAAAATGTGATTCTACCGTGATTGTCTATGTTCTTCATCTTCTAAATGTGCTTTTTAAAGTGGCATGGGTGACTTTGCACAGTTGTACATTGTAAGGATGGCCCAGAATGACCTTTGTTAACTGGAAAGTAGGTCAGATGTGTCAAGTATATAATTACTACCCAGCCCATGTCCACCTTAAGTGTTAGTAAACAGAAGATAGTGCTCCTTGAACCCTACGAGGTCCTTCTGTTAGACTGCTCCCAGAAAACGAAACTGCCCCATTTGCATATGTGATGACAGTTTGCGTCTTCATTTGTTTGGGTGATTGGTGCAGAGAAAAAAACATAGATAAGACTTGGAAAATATTGTTTTTGTTTACTGAAACTTTTTATGTAACTTTTTCTGAAACCTACTCTGCAAATCAAATGTCCATGCATTCACTTTAGCGGAGAGCTTAATAGAGCATTTTTATTGAATGAACTGGTTGTGGGTTTTGTCTCTCGTTCCTTTATGCTTGAGCTAAAATGACTTGTGATAACTACTACCTGAGATCTCTGGAGCTTTCCACATAAGAAAAAGATAATATTAGAAAATAAATGGCCCTGGTCAAACTCGGATGTTAAAGGGCAATACTCCAGGGTATGGTAGTCTCACTTTTTGGTAGGAAAGCAGCAGAGCTATCCAATCTCTAAAACCTTAATTTAAAGGAATGGTAGATAAATTTAAGGGGTAATTGTATGAGGCAATTCAGCAGCAATGTACATTTCATTAAAAATACCTATATTCTCTAATATGTTCTCTGAAATGGACAGAGCTTCATTTACTGCCACTAACTAGACTGACATCCTTTTCAAAGGGAATAAGTTAGATCACGAGTCCTAAAACCCCATTCCATTCCAAAATTGTAGATACAAGTTGAGATAAAAGTAGTGGGCCAGCTTTGGCTGGTGTGGCTCAGTGGACTGAGTGCTGGCCTGCAAACTAAGGGGTCACTGGTTCGATTCCCAGTCAGGGCACATGCCTTGGTTGTAGGCCAGGTCCCTGGTGGGGTAGCGCATGAGAGGCAACCACACATTGATGTTTCTTTACTTCTCTTTCTCCCCCCTTTCCCCTCTCTCTAAAATTTATTTATTTATTTATTTATTTATTTTTAAAAAAGAAAGTAGTAGGCTTACTAGTAGGCTACTAAAGTATTTGGAATCCCTTTTGCCTGCCCTAATTTTAAGGTTGTTTGTTTTGTAATGTGAATTTTGACAGAAGGCACCAGTAGTGGCCCAGCAGTAGAAGGCAAGCTCTGCAGTGGGTAGTGGATTGATGGAGGTGGATTTATCTAGTCTGATTGGTTTTAGAGAAAATTTCTGATTTTTTAAAATAATTGAAGTATTTATTGCCAAATTTTATTTTTTAATTGCAGGTAAACAAGTGAGATCCAAACTTTCACAGGCATTTAATCATTGGCTAAAAGTCCCAGAAGACAAGCTACAGGTATCTAGGCAATTCTAACTTCATTCTTAATCCCCAAGAAATTTATGACATCATGTACAACTACTCCTAGCTCTTAATTCTATTTAATTCTTATGCAATATATTGTTTTAAATTGAAGTTGCTAATTAATTACTGCTTTTGAAAACTAAGACACTCGAGGCCCTCCTCTGTTAATGTAATAGTTCAAATATTTTTTAAAAAATGAAATTTCAACTGTCTTTTTTAGATTATCATCGAAGTGACAGAAATGTTGCATAATGCCAGTTTACTCATTGATGATATTGAAGACAATTCAAAACTCCGACGTGGCTTTCCAGTGGCACACAGCATCTATGGAATTCCATCTGTCATCAATTCTGCCAATTACGTGTATTTTCTTGGCCTAGAGAAAGTCTTAACCCTCGATCACCCCGATGCAGTAAAGCTTTTTACCCGCCAGCTTTTGGAACTCCATCAGGGACAAGGCCTGGACATATACTGGAGGGATAACTACACTTGCCCCACTGAAGACGAGTACAAAGCTATGGTGCTGCAGAAAACAGGTGGACTCTTTGGGTTAGCAGTGGGCCTCATGCAGTTGTTCTCTGATTACAAAGAAGATTTAAAGCCAATACTTGATACACTTGGGCTCTTTTTCCAAATTAGGGATGATTATGCTAATCTACACTCCAAAGAATATAGTGAAAACAAAAGCTTTTGTGAAGATCTAACAGAGGGAAAGTTCTCATTCCCTACTATTCATGCTATTTGGTTGAGGCCTGAAAGCACCCAGGTGCAGAATATCTTGCGCCAGAGAACCGAAAACATAGATATTAAAAAATACTGTGTACATTATCTTGAGACTGTAGGTTCTTTTGAATACACTCGGAATACTCTTAAAGAGCTTGAATCTAAAGCCTATAAACAAATTGATGAACTTGGCGGGAACCCTGAGCTAGTAGCTCTAGTAAAGCACTTAAGTAAAATGTTCAAAGAAGAGAGTGAAATATATTAAGCTATTCTTGATTAGGCCTAATAGCTTATTTCAGTTAATGAGTTTGTCTTTTAGCCTGTCATTTTGAAAATTTGGAGCAAGCTGTTTGACTCCAAAAACTGAGTGGATGGGTGATCATTGTACAAAATTGGCAGTCAAAAGGAGTCACATTTAATAGGTCTGATTTGAATGTGTTTAGTAGGTGTGCTGTGTTGGGTCTTTGTGGTCCACTCTGCCACAAATGTTTTACTGATCATGTCAATAAAGAATTCAGCCCCGGCTGCTGTGGCTCAGTGGATTGAGTGCTGGCCTGCGAACGGAAAGGTTGCTGGTTTCAGTCCCTGTCAGCACATGCCTGGGTTAAAGGCCTCTGGTTGGGGGTGTGCGAGAGGCAACCTATTGATGTTTCTCTCCCTCTCTTTCTCCCTCCCCCTCTCTAAAAATAAATAAATAAAATCTTTTTAAAAATTAAAAAAAAATTCAGCTTCCAGCAAGTTTTATCTAGATCCCTCCTAACTATACTGTATGGGCACTGCCCAATTCATCTACCCCAGTTTCAAGCCAGCAACTACTTGGGACAAGTCTCTGTAGCTAGCTGGCCCAAAGATAATAGGAAGTCCTCCTCTTCCTCGATGCAGCTGCTGAGAATATCAGTCTCCTCCCCGGAAATCCCCTTGCTGAGGTCTTCTACGAAGGCTGGCGGTGACAACCAGTGAGCACTCTGGTTCTTGCCCACTTCCTTTTTCCTTTCTCCATACCAGGAAAATTCTGCCCTTGAACCCAGGAGTCTCTTTTACATGCTAGCCTAAGTTCTTTTTTCTTTCTAGAAAAACTGGTGCCCCAAAACTGATTAATGTCTGGGTACAGAAATGTCCATTTGGGAAGGAAAAAAAAGTACACGCATGCAGAAATACTTTAAGAAGAAGCCTTTAAACCTTTTTGTATTTTCTCACTGTTAGTAATAAAAATCGTAAAAGAGCTGTTTGCTCACTTCAAATCCAAATCGGGGAAATGCCCTTTTCCTTCCTGCCCATTACCACCCTTGAAGGCAGCTGCTGCTTCAATGGAAAGGGAACCAACTGCAGGCATCTTTAATCTTTGTGATGAAAGGAAAGAAAGTGTTAACCTGACAAGGTAGTGCCTGACTGAAAAGTAGCCAAAGACTATGCTATCAGGCACTACTTAGCTTTATAGTGTCTGAACCCTGCCTACCCTGTCTCATTTCCAGCCACATCCCTGGAGCCATCTGTGGCCAAGAGGTAGGAAAAAAAAAAAAAAAAGACCTTGATTCCTGTTTTAGAAGTGTTACTCACATCCCAAAATGAAAGTTTGTGTTTCTCAGAAACATTGCCGTTTGCTTCATTGGTTCTATAGTATGTTAGGTCTAATCACCAGTACATGTATGAGAAAGTCTCACCAAAAAGTGCTCAACCTAGATCATCCTTATATACCAGGCTTATGGGTTCAGTCCCGTCAGGGCACATACCAGAATCAACCAGTAAATGCATAAACAAGTGGAACAACAAATTGTCCCTTCTCTCTCTCTCTCTCTCTCTCTCAAATCAATAAAAAATAAAATGTTTTTGAAAAGTTGGCCACTGCTTGTACTAACTTTTAAGATAATTTGAATCTGCCATTTTAATCAATACAAGGAAAACTTAAAATCATGGACATTTTAAGTGTTTCCCATGGCAACACTGGGGATTTTAATTTTGTGCTTAAGGAACCATAACAAGAAGAAAGCATCATCATTATTCAGAAAGGTCTAATGCTAACTATATAGACAAAACATATACCTTCAAGATAAAGATTGCTTAAGTTGATTATTCCTTACCTAATTAAACTGGTTTCCTGTACTATTTGTTATTCTTTTGTCATTTTCATCTTACCTTTGTCGGTTTCAGATATGCTTGACATTGAATTGGAGACTTAACCGTCACTTTATCTATTAAATGATCAAAAATCCATTCTTTACACCTGAGCTATAGTTATATTTGTTAATATAGAAGAAAACCAACAATATAGTTTAAATTGAATAAAATATCTACTTAGGTTTAAGGTACAGTCATTTTTTTTCTTCATAAATATCTTGTGGTAACACAAATAACTGAATTTCTTGTAGAAGACATGTAACTTGAAAACATTTATTTTCACATTTTCTAGTTGATGAAGCTTTAGGGAAAAAAAAGATTTTATTCATTTGTCCAAATCAAAAGAATGAAGGCTGGTTATGGTGCCATAAATTACTCTCCGACCTCAGCATGTCTTTAACTCCATCAGCTCCTCTGCTTCCCTCTGTCAACTGCTTAACGTGACTCCCTCCCCTTCCTGACTTGTGCCCCACAGTCCTTCACTTCAAGGATCCTTTCGAGAACTCTTTCAGGTCACTTACCTCTTTTTCTTAGGCCCCTCTCATCCCACCAATTTCCAATCCTGGATGAATCCAACCAAGCACGTTCTTTCCTTCTGTGGTGTTGCTGCGTGTTACTGAGGAACACTGCAAGTTAACAGGCTTGTGTATTATAGTAACACACTAAACAGTTTTCCTCCTATGATCTCTTCCCATTTTAATCTATGTTTCACTCTCCATCCAAAGCTGTCTGTCCAAAGCACAAATCTGATTGTCATTCTCATGTTTTAAATTCTATTGTATTCGAAGCCCCAGTACTGCCACCTGTAAGTTCCTTGGTATAATATGTAAGGCTTTCCAAAATCGTATCTCCAACCTTCCTTCACTAATTACGTTTCCTACCATTACTTTCCCCACACATGTTATACTCTGTCATAAAGTCATGCTTGCATTATTGAGACAGTCTATTCTGTTGGTTTAATTCATTTCCTCAGCGCTATGTGCTTGAACTTTTGCTAAGCTTGGGAGATACGAGAGCTATCAGCACTGTTCCTTAACCTCATATAACCAATTGTTAAACAGCATATAGAGCTGGAATCAGGGCCCCTAATTTCTTTGCTCGTTTATTTGTCTTCCCCTCCCATTAGATTGGAAACTCTTAAGGACAAGGACTGTCACTTATCCACCCTTGTATCCCTAATAGCACTTAATACATATTTATAAGTGAATATACCTACTTGAAACTAATATCCCACCTCTGAAGCATTCCATTAAATACAAAGTGTGAAAAGATCATAAACTTCAAAAAACTTTTTAAAAATGCTTTATTGATTTATTTTTAGTGAGAGGGAAAGAAAGGAGGAAGAGAGGGAGAGAAGCAGCGATGTGTTGTGACAGAAACACCAGCAACCCAAGCCTGCGCAGTGACTGGGAGTTGAACCAGCAACTGTCTACTTTGCAGGAACACTCAAACAACTGAGCTACGCCCCTCAGGGCTTGACCATTAGGCCCCTTAAGGCTCCTCAGCTTTTATGTTAATGTTGTTGTTCTACCTGCAACTCCTTTTCTAATGATTCTTATTCTTTCTGAAAGCATTCTTTTCTTTTTTAAATTGTATTTATTTTTTCTAGAGAGGGGAAGGGAGGGAGAAAGGGAGGGAGAGAAACATTGATAGGCTGCCTCTTGCCTGCCACCAACCGGGGAACTGACCTGCAACCCAGGTGTGCACCCCGGCTAACCCAGAATCGAAGCAGAGACCCTTCGATTCTCAGGCAAATATTCAATCCACTGAGCCACACTAGCCAGGGCTGAAAGCATTCTTTCAGACTGTTTACTCTCTCTCTTGTTTGTGATTACCATTATTCCAAAAGCCTGACCTCAAATTCAGGTCCTGTATTTAACTGCCTCTTTGCCTGAAAAAATAACATAATTAAAACTAGTTTTACCCTGGCCAGGTGGCTAAGTTTGTTGGAGCATTGTCCCTTACCCCAAAATGTTGCGGCATAAATTCCTAGTCAGGGCACATACCTAGGTTGCAGGTCCAGTCCCTGCACAGGAGGGACATGTACGGGAGGCAACCGATGGATGTCCCTTTCGTATCCATATTTCTCTCTCTCCGTCTCCCTTCTTCTCCCTCTAAAATCAATAAACATATCTTTGAGGATTAAAAAAACAATAATTTAATAAACCCCTCCAACCTTCATTAAAAAAATAAAAATAAACTTACACCTTTCTTCCTGTTTCTCTACCAACCTAAATAATGGAATGAAATCACTTTTACCCCAACTTTTTCTTTTTTAAAGATTTTATTTATTTACTTTTAGAGGGAGGGGATGGGAATGAGAAAGGGAGAGAAACATGTCAGAATACACTGATGGGTTGCCTCTCACACGTCCCCAACTGGGGGACCCGGCCACAACCCAGGCGTGTGCCCTGACACAATCAGTGACCTTTGATTCGCAGATGGACACTCAAGCCACTGAGCCACATCAGCCAAGGCCCAGCTTTTTTTCTTTTTTCTTTTTCAAATCACCATTCACTCTTAAGTGATCCAGCAGTGTGTCTTTGATTTATTTCTTACCCTTGTCTCCTATATTTTTCCAGTTCTCCCAAGTCCTCATGGAAGCTTTGTCCATTTTCACACTCATTAACATAGAACAGGCTTTATCACTTGTTGAAATACAGAATAAGATTTGATAATGGACACCACAATAGTGTGAATTCAGATACAATACAATTGGCGTTTGGCTCCCCAACCCCTAGCCCTTCCAGTTGGCTAACTACAGACTTCCTCTGGTTATTTCATTAATGTTGTAATAAGGCAACCTCACATTTTATGTGATTGAACATATTGGACCTTACAAGTAGTGTAGCATATTTTTACTATATGCTGTACTGGTAGATTAAAAAAAATAGTGCAATAAGCAATAAATAATATTAGTAATATAAAATTTTTTTAATATTTTATTTATTTACTCATAGAGAGAGGGGAAGGGAAGGAGAAAGAGAGGGAGAGAGACATCAATGTGTGGCTGCCTCTCACACACCCCCTACTGGGGACCTGGCCCGCAATCCAGGCATGTGCTCTGATTGGGAATCAAACCAGCAGTCCTTTGGTTTGCAGGCCAGCACTCAATCCACTGAGCTACACCAGCCAGGGCATAATATAACTTTAATAACCTATTAGTTCAAGTTAATTGTATGGAATGTTTTACAACCATTGATTAATGGGCATCTTTTCATAGTGATCTGGGAAACATTTGCAGCACAAACTGCCATATTGTGTACATTCTTTACAAAGCACCCCAATGCTTTAGGAGAATGACCAATTTATTATCTTTTAATTACTTTTGTTACTATACATAGAGAAAACTATATCTGAAGGTCTGGGAATTGGTATAATGAAAAATGGAAGATATTTGGACCTCAATG